GTGAAGCGTGTTGGAGGAGTTACAGTAGGTGTCTCCAAAGTTCTGGGCCAGCCCTTAGTAAAAGGCTTAATCATTGTTTAAGTTGATCTTGTTGCTCCTCTGTGTAATAATCCAGTTCCCATTTCTTGAAGGGAGTAAGTCCAAATTCCTTAGGTTGGCATTCAAGTCCTTCCATGGTTTGATTCTAGTCAGTCTTCCCCCACTCTTACCTCCTGTCCATCTAGCTGAACTTGCTGCATTTTCTGGGTAGGTTCTCCGTTTTTGCCTCTCCTTGCTCCATGTTTCCACTTCTAGCACCTTCCCAGGCCTGCTTCCCTGCCTTGTACCACTTCCCTTTTCTACATATCCAGGTAGGACTGAACTTTATGGCTCAGCTCAAATGCTACTCCTTATTATTGTTTTTGGAAGCCCCCTCCAATGGCCTTAGCTAGAAAATTCCCACTTGCACTTCTGTAGCCATTTTTGTCTACTCTGATTGCCCTAGCACAGTCTACCTTAATTTGTAGTTTTGTACACATGGTTTAGGCCCTTTTAAAAATTGTATTCCTTTTAAGGTATGGAATGTATACATACCATCTTTTCATTTCTTTGAATACATTGATATCAGATTCTCAAATATGTGAGTAAATTTGGCAATATAGTGTAGTAGTTAAGAGTTTTGGAATCAGAGAGACTAAGTTTCTTATATTACCACTCATTCCCTGTGTGATCTTGGGCACAATATTTAACCCGTCTGAGCATCAATTTCCCCGTCTGCAAAATGGTGGTAATAATGTCTACCCGACAGAATGGTTGTGAGGATGGAGGGATTTAAATTGCTTGGTAGGTACGTGTTTTATATACTCAGTAAGTTAATGTATATAATATATTCATAGTTATTTTGATATAGATCAAGCTGAGTTTGGGTAGCCCTAATGATTTTTAAGGGGTATTTCATCTAAATAGAGTTAGAAACCTCATGTTGGAAAGGGTAGCACTTCTTTGTTCTGCTTGATTTCATTAAAAATCAACTCTGAAAACTTCATTGGCCTTAGTGCTCTGGCTGGAAAAACAAATTTTCCAGAATCAGTGCTGGTGATGGCCTCATTTAGGAAATGCAGTTTTAGGGAAATGGCCTCAGGGAAAGCACGCAGATGTATGATCAGGATGCAGGTTCTGTAACGTACCATGGCTGATGTGGTCGGTGGGCACAGCATCTGCCTGGGTAAGATGAAAAGTTTTCTAAATGTGCTTCAGCCAGATGTAAAAGAGCGTGAGAGACACTGTGGTGGTGACTTCACCCCTATACCCCTCCCACTCCATGTCTCAGGCTTGACTTGCTGTATAAGAGCGCAGGCCCTCGCAGTGCGTTAGAGCACTTCTTACTTCTTCCCACGTGGAAGCCAGAGCCCCTCAGTTGCTGAGTGTCCACTGGACATTTCTAGGTGGGTACTTGTTCCTCAGTGGGATAGGATCTGTTCTCAGCACTGCCTTTAAGGCTGTCATTTCTCCTAAGTCTTAGCCGTTAAGTTAGCTGCTGAGTCAAGGTGTTCTCTGATATAGTTGATTGCCACCTAGTGGCCACAGGTGAGAAAACATGTCATGGAAACGAGAAAAGTGCTATGGAGAATTGTTTCATTCTAAGAGTTGAACAGGGTGTGTGTGCGTGTGCATGTGTGTGCGTGTGTGTTTTGTTTGTTTTTGCTAGTATAATGCCATGAGTCTGGGCCGTAGAATGGTATTTACAAGGGACTATCACTTGCTTTTCTTATAGTTAAGTCTGTCAAACTAAGTTTAAAATGCCACATACAAACTTGAGGGAATGGTGGGCTAGGGGAAATGCCTCTTTTCTGGTTGGATATGTTCTCAGTTTTCCCAGATATGGGGAGAGAGAAAAGAGTGATCTCTGGGGACTCTTCCTTAAACTGTTTTAACTCCAGCCTGGGGCTTGTTCTGGGGCTAAGAGCGGAGAGTTGGTTGTGGCCAGCAGTTGGGTTGTGTGTAGCTCCTTCCTCCAGCTTCCTTGGTATAGATGAGGTTTTATTTTATGCCCCTGCAGGTGGTGGCTCTCCCTCCAGCTCTGTGAGACTCTTCCTCAGTAGACAACATGAAGAGAGGTGGTCACATGCTAATGTGAAGCACATTCCCACGTATATATCAGACTCCAGCCAGACTTACATAAATTGGAGAGTTTGTCCTAACTTACCTGCTTTTTTTCACTTGTCAAACACTGAGTCTGGAGGTTCACCTTTGATGAAGGCTAATGCACTCGTGGAGTGCCTGGCTTCCTCTTTGTTCTTACTGCAGCACCTGCTCTCAGTCAAGCAGTAGAGTGTTGGGCTCTGGGGATAGAGTGGTGAGCAGGAAGGGATATGATCCTCGTCCTTATGGAACTTTCTAGTTGGGGAGGCATTACTTGAAGAATTACCTGAACATATATAAAATTGTTCTGAAGAAAAGATGTACTCAGAGAGTGAGAAATAGGGTTGGGTTTGGCCTGATTAGAGAAGTCAGGGAAGGCTTCCTGGAGGAAAGAACTTTTGGGCCAACGGCTGCAGGCAGAGGCAGCATGTGGTGGCAGGTAGGAGCTGGGCATGCCCAAGGAACTGGCAGAGGCTTGAGCAGCTGGAGCCCAGAGAGGGTTGTGGGGAGGCTGGATCCTGCAGGGCCTCTCAGGCCTTGGGAGGGACTTTTGTCCTCACCTCCAGAGCTCTGGGAAGCTGTCACAGGGCTCACTGCTGGTGTTGACACAATTGGGTGGAGAACTGACTTGATGGACAACAGGGGATGTGGGGAGGCCAGAGAGGAGGCAGTTGCGGTTATCTAGGCAAATGGAGGTGTTTTTTTAGGGGTTGCTGATAGTGATGGGAAGGAGTGGGCAGAATTGAGGCATGCTTAGTAGATAACATGGAGAGACTTGGGAATGGACATGGCACGTGAAGGAGCCTGCTGTGTGAGAGGATGACACATGCCGTTGACTTCTGTGGAGGGCGAATGGTGGTGCCTTTCATCACACCGGGGATGCAGGAAGAGGCCCTCAGCGGGCTCTCTGGGGAGAGGGTGGCAGAGGGTGTTTGAGCAGAGAGACTTTGGTTTTGAGTGTGTTGAGTTTGACATGGGGATGGGGTGTAAACTAAACCTGAAGTCTCCCTGGGGCTTGTGTGTGTCTCTCAGCTCTCTGTCGTGGGTCCTCTCTGGGGACTCTCAGGTGTTCCACCTAAGCCAGCTTGAATTTCCTTGCCGACTCACATCAGTACAACAGGTTTTGAGGGACACTGGAGTCCAGCCCTGTCTGAGGCACTTTTTGTGCATTGTGACATGAAGCCATTCATGAATAGTTCCAGAATTATTCCAAATACAAAGTGATGAGGCACAGAGGGTAATCGGTGTCCAGGGAAGGGAGAGATGAATGAGGCCCGAGGACTTTGGTATTCTTGCGCTTTAGGCAGCCATGAGGCCAATCCTGTTGCAAGTTCTGACCTCAGTGATGGTCTTTCTGAACTGTAATCATTTTCTAAGTCCAAAGAGAAAGATGTGACTGAGCTGTGAAACATTTCAAGGGTAGTTAATACACAATTTTGATAACTTTGGAGGTCACAAAGGCAACAGATGCACTGAAGATACAGTTGTAAGGTTACCTGAGTCCATGTTTGTATATGCACATGTATGTTAAGTTTTACCCAAGGAGAAAAAGGAAATGGCTTAACTTGTGATATTACTGGTACAACTTGTTTAAAATTAAGGTAGATTCTAATTTTTTAAAATTTATGGTAAACCTATTAGTGAAAGATGGACCCTATTTGGGTTAAATTCTCTTAAATCCGGTGCAGATTAATATCTGCTGGCATCTCCAAGAAAAGAAGGGGACTTTCCTCTGTTCCTGAGTGAGCAGGTGGCTTTGGGAGCAGTGACTCCAGGCCCAGATCTCTAGCTGCTTCCATGTTTCTTACCCATCTGGTCCCCTCACTCAGAGAAGCACAGCCCTACCTACTCTGGAAAGCAATGCTTGGCCTCCCCAGATGCCAACAGTTACGACTTCTCTCCGCTCTGGCCAGCATTCTGCTTTTCTAGCAACAGATGTTTCTGCAAAGTAAATATTATTGACTCTGCCTGGCTCCTTGCTGTGTCTTGCACTGCCTGTACATGAAACAGCAGGGTTATATGAGGAGGGTGCCACGAAGCTTGGCATGCACCCAGCACCAGTGCCAGCCTCTTTTCTTTTCCCTCTCCTCTTACTGGAATGTGTGTGGTAGATTCCTGTGTGCATCAGAGGGAAAGTTCTTGAAATAAACCCTTGGGGAGCTGCATATCCAAGGTGATATCTACGTAACATACCACCAATCCTACTGGGTTGAAATAGGCAAGAAGCAATGGCTTTGAGGTAGAAAGTTCCCCTTTTGATGTTGTTTTCATTTTCTCAAGTAATACAGAGGGTTTACCTTAATGGGGGAAGCGTGATGGTATTCCCACATACTACAAGGATCTCATTTCACAGGACTAAATTCACAGGTCCTCTCCTTCGTGGCCTTGTGCTTTTATGTCAGTCCTTTAGCTTCTCCGAGCTCCAAACAGTTATTCATGACTACCTTTCCAGTTCCTCTTACTGGAGGATTCACATATGAGGAAGGAACAGCCCAGCTATACCTAGAACTGAATTTTATGATGCGCAGACTGCCTATACAATGTGTGTCACTGGATTCTCCCTGCCTAGCCCGTGGGCTGACAGCCTCCGTCAGATGAGATAACTGAGACTTGACGACTAACCCAGGGTTCATTACATATCTGATCTATGGTGGAGCTGGAACTTGAACCCAGGAGCTGTGGGAATCGGGTGGGAGCAGTGGGTTGGGGTTGATCAGCCTGTAACCAGCACCCCATAGAATGCAAGTGGAGAAGGGAGGTTCTCCAAAACAAGCTTCAGATGCTGTCCTAAAGTCTGGGGAATGGATTCCAAACAAGCAAAACGACAGGCATCCACTTTAGCTTTACTGAAAAATTCCTCTAACAAGCCTGAGGTGAGTTCCTTTTCAGGTCCACTTATTGAGTTTCTCGCTCTACCCAGCTGTCCTCATTTGCCTGAAGCCCAATATTGACTCTGTACCAGCAGTGATTACCTAATCGTCTATTGGGAGGTCGGCCTCTCCCTGAACTTCCTGGGGTCCTCACTGCTTCTCACCTTTGCGCTGTGGCAGAGTGTGTTCTGTGCCAGCAGACAAGGAAATCAGGTCACCTGCTGGTCAGAAGCTAACAGGCCCTGCCCTGGGTCAGTGGGTCCCCCTGTGCAGAGGCCCCACAAAGGCCCCGTTGTGCATGACTAGCCACTCCCTGATCTTCACTGCCAGCCACCCTTGGCAGTGCAGCTTTCCAGGTGTGTGCTGGGAGCTTTCCCAAGCCTGGCTTGCATTTCACCTTTTCCCACTTTGTTGAGGTGATTGTCCAGCTTGAGTTTCTCTTGCCTATGGGGGAGGCATAGGATTGTCAGGTGGGTAGAAAAGCAAACCTGTGTTACTCTTAGAGCAGACCTTTGTGAGTTCTGATCAGGGAACATCCTGACTAAAATAGGAGTGTGTATAAACATAGCCACATTTGATGCACACACCTTTGGGGGTGCTAACAGAACGTTGTCTTCCACTCTAAAATATTATTCTCTCCCTTTTTTCTTGTGTCTACCTGTGGCCTCCTCCTGCCTTCCTCCCCACAGGGTTCTGGCTTTTGGGTGCATCTGTTTCCTTCTTGGCTTGCCTTTTGTGATTGTGTTCTGAGGGATAGCCTCAGCCTGGGCTGGCCAGTTTTGACAGATGCCTGAGTCCCTGCCAACATCTTTTGACATTTTGGCAAGGACCATTTTGTGAAAGAGACTGAACGAGGGGGAGACCAGAGACCGGTGGCTCCTGTGTTCTCCTTCTCCAGCCCAAGTGCCTTCTTTTGGTGTAGACCAGAGTGCTTTGCACAAGCCGCAGCTGGCTTGGGACCGTGTCGTCGGAGCGTGTGGTAGGGAGGTCCGTGTCGTCGGAGCGTGTGGTAGGGAGGTCCCAGGAGCAGGAGCTGCAGCTGCTCTCCATGCAGTAGCCTGAGCCCTGGTCCTAAAAACAGCACCACAGCCCATGCCTGGCTCTTCATTAGCAGCTATTGCTTGGAATGAGCATTGGGGATTGGATTTGTATCCAGTGCTGTACCCCCCCTTCACTGCCCCTCACATTTATTCAGCATACACTGAGCAGGATGCACTGCCAAGTACTCAGAGAGGAAACAAACCAAAGAAAAAGATGGAAAACACGATCCCTAACCTCAAGGGTCAAATCCGGGAGCTAAGACAAAGTACTGGGAGTTACAGATGCTTTTATTCTAGTAGGTTATGTTGATCTGTGCAGCCACAATCACACTCCCTCTCCGAATATCTTATTAAAGCTAGGCCTTGTTGCCGGTTCTGCCTCATGTTTTCCTCCCTTGAGCATTTGTACATAATGCCATTTCCCTTTCAATAAGGGAAACATGTATGAGGGTAATTTAAATGATTAGCCTAATCTGCAGGAAGACTGCATATGGAATTAAGTTAAATACATTTGTCCTCAGCAGCCAGATCTGTCAGTCCACTTAAAGGTACCTTGGTCGTTTCATACCCTTAACAGAAGCTGAAGGCTCAGTAAGGATCATTGGCTTTCATTACTATTTTCATTGAAAGCTTATGATGATGATTTTTTTTTTTTTTTGAGACGAAGTCTCGCTCTGTTGCCCAGGCTGGAGTGCAGTGGCATGATATCAGCTCACTGCAACCTCCACCTTCCAGGTTCAAGCAGTTCTCCTGCCTCAGCCTCCTGAGGAGCTGGGACTACAGGTGCAGGCCTCCACGACCGGCTAAATTTTGCATTTAGTAGAGACGGGATTTTACTGTGTTGCTCAGGCTGGTCACGAACTCCTGAGTTCAGGCAATCTGCCCGCTTTGGCCTCCCAAAGTGCTGGGATTACAGGCGTGAGCCACTACGCCTGACCGACGATGATTTTTTATGACAAGTGCCCTTGAGAATTTTTCTTATGGATGCTCTGTGTGGAATGTGTTTTTACTCCAATGCAGAACATTGCTGGGGCCTTGTTCTCCTTGTGGTGTTGGATGTGGCCAGCCAGGAAAATGGTTCAGGTGAATCTCAGGCTGGTGGTCCACTCTGCTCATAAGGAGAGTGAAGAGGATTGTGAGAACCTCGGCTTTGCCTATGCTTGAGTCAGAAGAGGAAGGCCAAGTGCTACGGGCAGGGCAGTTCCCAACCCCCCTCCCAGCCTTCCCCAGGCTCCCTCCCTAGTGAAAGTTTGTGTTGTGAGTAGGACCTAGAGGAAATGATTGTCGAGTCAGACGTGTGGGGGCAGCTGCACTGACCGTGTGGAGGGTCAGTGGCAGAACAGCCCTGCAGGCTGTGGACACTAATTCTGGCCCTGATCCAAGCTTTCTCCCTGACTTCCTTTGGCAAGTAGATTTCCACACTTCGAACAGAGATGACAAGTTGCCTTTAAGAAGTAGAGCTAAAACTTGAATTGTTAAGGCCAGTATAACAAAAATATTAACTTCTAGAGCAAATCAATGCTTCATGTTATAACCAAGTGTTGGCTGTTTTGAATTTATATTATTTTGTGCTTTGAAATGGACGCGGGAACAAATCTTCCTAAGATATTCCTAGAAGGACCAATAAGGGCAGCAAATCAGAAATCCAGTTTAATTTTAGTAATTCCTGATTTTTCCTTTCTTTTTCTTGCTAGATTTGTCTTCAGCGAAGCGGAAGTTTGCGGATTCCTTAAATGAATTTAAATTTCAGTGCATAGGAGATGCAGAAACAGATGATGAGATGTGTATAGGTAAGTCGTAACTGTGCAGAAGATAAAAATGTTAATTGTTCATCGTCGCCTTCAGTATCCCAGCAGAGCCCTTTTCCTGGGATAGGAAGTCTTTAAGGTTAGTAAAGAAAGAAGTCCTTAGTGGAAGTGGAGGGGCAGAGATATGTGAGGATTGGGGCTAGGGGCTACTCTGGTCTTCTCGAGTTCTGGGATTGCCTCACCCTTCAGCATGCAGGAGAGAAAGCTTGAAGTTTTGCGGTGAGACTCTCCTTTCCTCCTCCCTTTCGTGTTTTTCTGGCTGGTGACATTCTTCCCCTCCAACCATAGCACTAAGAGCGTAGAGCATACGTGAAACACAGGTAGATGAGGGGAAAATTAGATCAGAGGTTGCAAAATGATAGCTCCTAGGCTGAGATCAGAACACAGCCCTGTTTTCTTTGGCTTTCATTTTAAAAATTAAATTACCACATAAATTCAATTTATAATCTAAAATTTCAGTTTTCTAGCTTCTTCAAAAAGTTTGAGAATTTAATCTATTGGCTCCCCCCATTCTGACCTGGCAGCAGTTGGCTGAGCTGTGTGGCTGCCACTGCCTTCAGATAGGGAGAGGAGCTCTGTGTCTGGTTCTCCTGTGCTGTGGGCAGGGAGGTCCCCACCTCTCTTGTATCCTTAAAAAGAAGCTGAGGCGGGTTACTGTTTATCACCACGCTCTGCTGCTTCACTCTTCACCATTACCTGCCTTGGTCTGTAGGCAACCCTAAGCACAGAGGATTTGCAATGTTAAGATACCTTTCTTTGCCAGGGCCTTGTCATTGCACACTATTCTCCTATGGGCACCTTGGTTGACTCCATTAAATGAGCAAGAACTGAGAAAGTTTTATTGGATTAATTAATTCATCAAATGCTTATTGAGTCCTTTTTGCCATGCAGAATGCCAGGATCAGGGGCTGAGCACAGGCGATTGGGAGACAGCTGAGCGTGGTGAACACACGTCCTGTAACTTTTGAATGTATGGATGCTTTTCCCAACATGGCTCAAGGGTCTTGAGTATCCTCAGGGCCACTGCACATAATGCTTATTGCTTTTGTTAATAATTCTGGCAAAGACGACTGTCATGTCTAAGCACCATGCTTCGAGGTACATTCTATTAATGAGTGGCTTGAGTACTCAGGAGGAACCCAAAGAGAAGCCAGAGATGTGGCTTCCAATGGCAGCAGCACTGTTTGTTTAGTTCTGCCAAAGAAAAGGCTGAGTTCTGACGCAACACCATGACAAAGGTTGAGGAGGTCAAATCCGGACAGGAAATTCTTCAACTCCTAAGCGGAACTCTGCCCTTTCCAGCCGGGGGCCTGGAAGCCTGCCAGCATCTCACCAGTCCTGGGTACTCTCAGGAACAGGCAGGTCTTTTCCTTGAAGAAATCATTCCTTAGCTAGAGTGCCAGGTGGAATTAACCTGCATTTCTGGGTCATCCTTAATAGTTAATGATTAAAAAGATGAAGGGAGCCTTGGGAAGCAATTGGCTTTAGGCATCTGTATGTGCCAAGGAATTAAAATCCATAACATAATAGCCAGAGCTGGAAAGGCTCCCCAAGACCCCTGGCACTCCTTCCGCCTCATGGCCCCTTTCTCTTTTTCAGCAAGGTCCTTGCAGGAGTTTGCCACTGTCCTCAGGAATCTTGAAGATGAACGGATACGGATGGTGAGTAGGGCTGGGCTAATCTTGGTCCCAGATAGTATGTTTGTATTGAGGGAGCAAGGGATTGGTTATCAGAAGAATCAGATTCAAATCCAGACTCTACCACTTGAGTGTTTTGAGTTCTTCAGCAAGCCTCATCTTTGTAGAGTTTGAAGCCTTTTGTGAATATTAAAGGATTACTCTGGTGGATAATTTTAGAATATAGTTAAATGACATCCTTCTGAAGATTCATTTTAAGGTCCTATGAACATTTTACTTTTTTGGGCCTCAGATTCTCTACCAGCAGAATTGGAGAGAAGGTGCCCCACTCTGCCTCTACTCCATTTTATTGAACCTGATCAAGAAGAGCCCTTTGAGGGCAGGGATCGCTTTACTTTTCTTTCTTTCCTTCTTTTTTCTTTTATTTTATTAGACAGAGTCTCTCTCTGTCACCAGGCTGGAGTGCAGTGGCACTCTCTTGGCTCACTACAATCTCTGTCTCCCGAGTTCAAGTGATTCTCCTGCCTTAACCTCTCCAGTAGCTGGGACTACAGGCATGCGCCACCATGCCCAGCTAATTTTCGTATTTTTCGTAGAGATGGGGTTTCACCATGTTGGCCAGGATGGTCTCGATGTCTTGGCCTCGTGATCCGCCCACCTCAGCCTCCCAAAGTGCTGGGATTAAAGGCGTGAGCCACTGCACCTGGCCTTCACTTTTTGTTTTTAAGCACCCAACACAGTGTCTGCCAGGTAGTAGGGACCAAGTAAACAGGTACTTTGTAATGAAGGTAACTATAAAAAGCTCTTCAAATAGAGGCATTGTCCACATTTAAGGGTCAAATGCTGATCTCCAGGTTCTTAAGAGATATCTTTTGTACTAGAATTTATTGTTCTGGGAGACAGAGAGGGTCTCACTCTGTCACCCCGGCTGTATTGCAGTGGTGGAATCATAGCTCACTGCAGCTGGAAGCTCCTGGGCTCAAGTGATCCTCCCGCTTCAGCCTCCTGAGTAGCTAGGACTATAGGTCTGCACTACTATACCTAGCTAATTTATTTTTTATTTTATTTTATTTTATTTTTGTAGAGATGAGGTCTTACTGTGTTACCCAGGCTGATCTCAAACTCCAAACTTGAAATGATCCTCCCACCTTGGCCTCTCAAAGTGCTGGGATTACAGGCATGAGCCCAGCTTATAATTTATTCTGATATAGTTCAGCATTAGCAGATAAGAGCTTCCACATCTATAGGAAGTTCCTTTGCATTTTCCTCCATATCCTTAAGATATGAGGAATGAAGCCTGACTTGAAGTCCCCTGCTGGCTGAACACCGATTTGCCCCTAGGAGGGCTTGTCTTCAGGCAGCAGTGCTCCAAAGGTCTAGGAGAGATTGCATTAATCAACATTTTCTTCTCTTCCCATACTAACAGTTGGTAGTTTGAACACTATTCACCAAGACATAATGTAGCCAGGTACTTTACATGCATTTTCTATTTTAACCCTCATGATGACTCTGTGAAGTGGTATCTGTATTAATGCTATTTTCAGATGAAGATATTGAAGTTTACAGAGGTTAAGTAACTTGTCCCGGATCACACAGTTAATAAGTCATACAGTTTGGGATCAAACCCAAGTCTGCATTATATTAAAAAATGTGGGGGCCAGGTGTGGTGACTCTTGTCTGTAATCCCAGCACCTTGGGATGCCAAGGTGAGAGGATTGCTTGAGCCTAGGAGTTCAAGACCAGTCTGGAGGCAACATAGTGAGACCCCCATCTCAACACAATGTTTTTTAAAAAGGCCGGCATGGTGGTGCATGCTTGTAGTCCCAACTATTTGGGAGGAGGTAGGAGGATGGCTTGTGCCAGGAAGGTCAAGGTTGCAGTGATTTGTGATTGCACCATTACACTCCAGCCTGGACAGCAGAGCAAGACCCTGTCTCAATTAAAAAAAAAAAAAAAAAAAAAGATTTCTTTAAAACTCCAAACAGAGTAGAAGCCTCTTACTTTCTACCCTGCAGAGAGAAACAGTTTCTCTTGGTTGCTCACTGCTGGTGCCTGAACCAGAATCAGAAGGGTGGTGGCAGCAGCAGTGGGGGCTGGTGGTGGGTGGAAGCCAGGGAAAGCTTGTGTGTTTGTGCACATGCTGGTGCCTGAGAAAGGGAAATGATTCTTTTGAGTCTGATTCTTGGCTGAGTTAGGATTTGGGGGTGGGGGTGTGGTAAGCAAATCACCATGAATACCCTGCAGATTGCTATGGCCTGTGGTAAGGGAACAATGACTGGATTATACTTTTCAGCTTGCCTCTGCAGTTTTATTATTAATGTCAGTAAATTGAGTTTCTACTGTCTGCATCTGAGTATCTGGCCATTGCAAGCCCCTTCTCTACCTCCTTGCCCTGTGACAACTTCATCATCAGTTCAGTTCAACTCAGCAAACAAAGCTGCATCTTCTCTGGGAAGCCTTTCCTGACTTCCTGGGTTATATGGCTACCCTTGGTATTTTCTTAACATCCAGTTCATGCTTCTGATCCTGTGTTTACCACATTGTGTCCTGATAAACATTGTACCTGTCTGTGCCCTAGAGTAAATGAGTTCCTCTAGGCAGAGAAGGGGCTTCCATGTCCCCAGCATCAGGCAGTTGTTGGAACCAAGTGGACGTTACACAGTCATAGAATCTTAGACTAAGTGGGAACTTATTCCTCACCATCTGCAATTGCTCATTTGACAGATGAGAAAACAAATCTTATTCAGGATAATAGCAAGTAGTAGTATGGCTGGGACCAGGACTCGCTTGTCCTTATTCCCAGGTGAGCAGTTGAGTGCTTCTGTATTATAAGCATCTGCTTAGGACTAGATTCTCAGTCATGGATGTCCTCTGAAATAACTTGGGGAGTTTGAAAAATACTGATGTCTGGGACTAAGTCCAGGGATTCTGAGTTAGTTGGAGTGTAGCCTAAATATAGGGATTTTAAAAGCTTTCCAGGTGATTTTACTGTGTAGTTACGGTTGAGAATCATTAACTTAGGGGCTTGACAAATTTTCATGAGCTTCAGAGACTTGCAGGTGGTTTGAGGAAAAGACTTAAGTGAACTGATTAAGTAACATCAAATAACAATAAAAATCATAAAATCAAACAAGTTAACACCACAACACTCTAGTCTTAAATTTCACTGTTCTGAAATAAGTGATCTCAAAGTTGAGAAAAAGGCACGTCGTAATAAATTTGGAGACTTGACTTTTTCTGTCCCTTACATTGTTCTGTTAGTTCTTTACTGTGTCCATCTATGACTTCTGACATTTACCCTGTTAGTTTCTTGGCAGTGGACATGCGTGTGGTTTAGGAAAAATAATGCTTTGTTATAGCGAGATTCGGGAATAATTAGTTGAGCAAAGAGTGATAAATGAATGACTTAAAAGGAAAAACTATAAAATACTGTACTGCCTTAGAAAAGACCATAGAGTCTTAGAGCTGGACAATTCAGCCCACTTGTTCTGCAGATGATGAAATTAGAGCCCAGAGAGGTTAAATGTTTTGCCCATGGTCACACAGTTGGCAGCCAATGAAGAAAGAATCCATTCATTCATTTATTCATTCAGAAATGTTTGCATGCTGCTTTGTCTCAGCACTCTTCTTTGTTTTGGGGATAGTGGTGGCAAAGTGAGCCTTTACAAGATACTGTCGTGTGTGTGTGTGTGTGTGTGTGTGTGTGTGTGTGTGTATAAATGTGTGTAGTGGTGAACCAGAACATATTTGTAGGGGAGGGAAGTTGAGTTATGTTGGTAGTCAGGGAACGCCTACCTAAAGAGGTGATCTTTAAGCTGAAACCTTAACTACATAAAGGAACTGTCCCTGTAAGGATCTGGGAACACAGTGTCTGAAGGAATAGCCAAATGCTATGGCCCTGAGGTGGGACAAGTTTGGTGCGTTTGAAGTGCACTGGTGTGCAGGTGGGTTGGAATGCAGGATCTGAGGGGTGACCCTGTGAGATGAAGCTGAGAGGCAGCCAGTAGTCAGGAGGCACAGGTATCTTGGCTTTAGTCCAGTCCTGTCTTGGTAGAGTGACACAAAATCAGGTTTGAAAGGTTTTTGCGCCATCAAATGTCCAGAGTTTTTTGTTGTTGTTGTTGTTTTGTTCTTAACCTAGAAATCAGTGTTGATTTACTTTACTTGGGTAAATGAATGTTTACAAGAAACTGTCACCAGAAGCTTGTAACTGAGACCCCACTCTTTCACCAGTTTCCCTCTGCCCCTTCAGACGGTTGCTTAACAGTTTGAGTTCCTCATTTTTACTTTCAAAGAATCAGTATGAATCATGCATGGGAGGAAGAGGATCATATTTTGAAATGTGACAGTTTTGATATGACATGCTGTTCAAAGGTTCTAAACAGTTGACATGTATAACATTGCTTACTCAAATTTTATTCTAAGACATGGGGAGGCATCTTGTGCTGGAGCTGCTGTAATTCTTTACTGATACTGCTTTTGTGTCTTCTTTCCCCTACTCTGTTTTTCTTCACTAGATTGAGAATGCCAGCGAGGTGCTTATCACTCCCTTGGAGAAGTTTCGAAAGGAACAGATCGGGGCTGCCAAGGTGAGAATTTTGCAAGCTTTGGTCTTGGATTTTAGAGTGAGAGATCTGAAAAGCACAGCACCTTCTTTAAAAAAATGTAAGCATGTCTTCAGAAAATTGGAGCCCACCTTCTTCAGAAAATCTTAGGTAGAGAACTCTACAGAGCCTAACTCATCAGGTCTTTACAGGTGACTGACGTATGAGCAGTCAGCATCTGAGCAGTCAACCCTAGAGCAGCCATTCTGGTATTTTGTTATCTAATTGTTTTGTGCTTGTTCATAAATCATCCAAAGGTGGAAACCACACCTTGTTTGTGTCATTATAATAGATAGCTGTGTGCTTAGACAATTGCCTATATTGGACAATACATTTGTTTTTGTGGAATTGTATTTGTTGTGGAGGTCCAGGACTTGCATCTTAAACAGGAGCTACCAATTATGCCCTGTGGGTATGGGGACTTTCTTTAAAGGGAGGCAGCTTGTACGTAGGTTTAGCTGATTTTTGCTGGGTCTGGAAATGGGCCCTCTCTTGCTGATTCTTTAAATGTTTCAAGATAAACCGAAAGGCCAGTTTTATGTGAAATTTTTTATTGACAAATAATTTTAAAATATATATTACACATTGTGCAGGTCAAAAAATGACATCTGCAGGCCTTGTTCAACCTGGAGATCACCATTTGTTATCACTGACCTGGAAGGATTGTAGCCTAAACTTGACTAATTCTAATGTGTTCTTGAGAGACTCCTGTTCCTTTTTAAAAGGTGAATTCTCCAGGGCTCCCTTGTCCCATAATAAATCACTAGCAGTGCCAGGTGTGGTGGCTCATGCCTGTAATCCCAGCACTTTGGGAGGCCAAGGTGGGTGGATCATGAGGTCAGGAGTTTGAGGCCAGCCTGGCCAATATGATGAGACCCCATCTCCATGGTGGCATCCGCCTGTAGTCCCAGCTACTCATCAGGCTGAGGCAGGAGAATCGCTTGAACCCAGGAGGTGGTGGTTGCAGGACCTGAGATCTCACCACTGACTCCAGCCTGGGTGGCAGAGCAAGACTCCTTCTCAAAAAAAAGAAAAAAAAAGTCTCTAGGAAACCCTAGCCGGTTTGACCTTCAGTAGAGTGTTAGAGGCAACCTGCAGGGAAGATGTTTTCACTGGAATCAGTGAAAGCAAAAAGATTTCCAACATTTTCTTCCTGGTTTTCTGGAACTGTGAGTCAGTTCAGCTGCAGTCTCTTATGCCATCTGCAGGGGCTTTTGGGCAACACCACCTTCCTACTTGTGTGGATTTTACTTAGTTGCAAAATGAGGTATTCGTCGCCCCTACAACACACACACGCCCGTTAAGTGCATCAGCTTTCTGGAAATAGATATGATTAGGGCCCACAAAAGATGTTGTTTATTCAGGGTCCTTCAGAGAGATGGTTGACCGTAGTTTGAAGGAGGGACCATGGCAAAGACTTTTCTCCCAGTTTTATTGTACTTTTCTACTAATTGTGATTTACACGTTTATAAGGAAGTAAGGAATGTATGTATATAATTTGCATGAAGTCTTATTCCACTAAGATTTCATCCAGACTGTGAACCAGTCCAGTGATGGCAGATAATAAGCTGTGAACAAGTGCTCCCTCAGTTCGTGGCAGTGCAGGCCCCCCAGCAGGCCTCCTCTTGGTGGCCTTGGCACCTGTGCCTCCCCAGTCTTGAACATGTTTGGCAGTGGCTTCCGGGGGTTATGCAGAGCTTTGAGACCAAGGCAGAGCAGTCCTGTCTGTTGAGTCATTTTTCAGTAGTTACTTCTCTTTCTGAGCACAGACGCCTCTCACTCTGGCCTCCTCTTTCACTGGCTTGGGTGTTACCGTGGTTACCAAGGAGGCGAGACAAGAGCCTGAGTGGGCTCCCTTTGGGCTAGTACCAGTGATCTTAATGACAGGAAGAGGTACTGTCCCACCAAGGGGTATAGATGGTGACGTATTAGGATAAAAGAATTTAAATAAAATAGTCACTTACCCAAGCATGTTTCCCCTCATGCATACTCTATTCCCCCATTCATTAAACCATGAATAATAATGAATTATTAAACATCTTTCTGATGATCATTAAAGAAGAATTGTGATGACATTTGGGTGACTTCTCATCCCTCCCCATTTGTCGTTGTTTTTCCCCTGGCATATCCTCCTAACCATCACCCTACATACACATACATTTTTATCATAACATTATGTAAATTTAAGAGAAAACAAACAAACTAACAACAGATCCACTTCTAGACGATCCATGGAGCAGTCTCAAGAACACCTCAGAGCCAGCAAATGCTCTTCAGCTGGTTTTGGTAGTGGCCAAGTGGAGGTTCTGAACTCTGCCTGTGCCAACGCTAAAATTACTTTTTCCTCCTCCTCCACTCTCTGGTGCTGCTTCGGTTGCCATAACATCCTGTTACAGAATGCACGGTGTGAAGGCTGCCAGGGAGGAAGACTCTTGGGCATTCTTATGCTAACATGCTGCTGAGGAGTATCACCCTGGTGCTTGACTTAACCGTGGCCCTAAATTTCTGTTTCCGAGTTTGAGGAAATTCATTTTTCCTGTGTCAGAGGAACATTTGGAATGCTGGACTCTGCAATAAGTATAACAGGCATAAGAGAATAGCATAAAGAGTGAGTCTGAGCTAGACCGCCTGAATCCAAATCTCACTTCTGCCATTTGCATGTAGACTTGGGGAGGTTATTGACCCTCTTCGTGCCTGTTTCCTGATCTCTAAAATGGGTAATAATAAAACTTGCCTCAGAAAGTTATTATGAAGAAGTGAGTGAACTCATATCAAATGCTTAAAACAGTGTCTATCATATAGCTACCTGAACACAGGAACAATGTGTGTTACGTAGTCATTCGATGCTAGTGATTATATTTGATATACACAATTCATTCATTGAAAAAATATGTGGAGGCTGCTCTGTGCCAGCATTGTTCTGTGCCCTGATATGTGGTGAAGAACAAGGCAGATGCGGTTGCGTTGCTCATGGTGTGGCTGGGGAGAAAGACATTAGACAAAAAGAGATAAATAAATATATAATTTCCAATTGTAGTAGGTTCTTGGGAGGGTTACCTTCATGGCACATGGGACATGGAAAGCAGGTGTGTTCTTGATAAGAAGGAGGCAGGTTTAGGTGATAAGCTCACCCCTGTCACCACCATTGCTGGCGTTTATTGAGCACTTCCCACGTGGCAGGCACCCTGGTAAGCACTACTTGTGGTTTATTTCATTTAATCCTAGAAATCCTTTGGTGGGGGAGGGTTCTTATTTTTATTTTGTTATATGGTCTTTGAGCTGAAAGAAGAAACCTGAGCAATTATTTAATCATCCTCAATTTATAGTTGAGGAAATTGAATCCTGGAGGGGGATGGTGATTTGTTTCTAGCCAGTCCATATTGAGTTGGGAATACATTTTAGGGTTCTAACTCAATCCTTGACTTAAGCACCCCCCAGGAGACTCTCTGAAAGGTGAAAACCATCTTGAGTCCTGAGTAATGGAGTAACACCACCCTCCCATCTTAGGAACGTTATCTAAACTGTAGTACTTTTTTGCTGCAGAGGTCTTATTGCTATTTTCTCAGGACAGAAACAGCTTCTCTTTCTCCTTCTTCTTTTCTCTAACTTTGGCTGTCCTCTTAAGCATGGAATCCAGAAGCACAAGTTGCCAGAATGTCCCAGAATGCCAGTGACTCATGCTCTCTGGCCTTTTCTCACCTCTGGCCAGCTGGGTTGTCCGGCATCAGGATTCTCCTTTTTGGGGTTGCTGTTAAGGCTGGTGGGAGTGGATACATGTGAACAGCAATTGGAGTTGGAGCCCCAGTTCAAAGTTGCTGGTTTCTCTAATGGAAAAGAACTGCTTGGGTTAAGTCTCTTGCCTGTACTCTCCTCAGATTTGAAGGAGTAATGTGACTCAGGCTTTTTCTTCATTTGCTGCTGTATGCTTAATTGTTCTTGGACTAGAGTAGTCTTTTAAGTCAAGCTCAGATTCATAGAAATGGATATATGTCAGTTAAAATGGATATATGATTATTCTCCCCACTCTGGGAGCATATACCAGATGAGTGGGATTCTGACAGGTGGAGCTTGTCAGGGCTCTGGGTGATGGCTTCTTGCTCAGAGTGTCCTGCCCCAGGGCATTTGCACTTGACTGTTCTGCTCTAGAAGGCTCTACTCTACTCCTTCTGTATTTAACAGGTAGGCCTCAGCTCACATCTTCCTTCCCCAAATGATGCGTTTCCTGGGTGCCCTATCTAAAGAATCTGTGTGACCGCACCCTGCTTATTTCCTTTGTAGCACTTGCAGCAGTCTATAATTGTGCTGATTATTTGTTTACTGGTTAATTGTGCTTCTCCTACTAGAACATTTCTACCGTGAGGGTTGGGACCATTTTTGTCTTATATTTCTGGTACGTAAAGTAGAGCCTTGCACAGAGTGGTTGCTGATTTTAAATTTGTTAAAGGAATAAAGAGATGTGTCTGAGCTTCCTTATTTAACCAGAAAATATTTTTCCTCTTCTAAGCCTTGAAGTTGCAGAAAAACATCCCTACGAGTTTGGGCTCCACATGAGACAAAAGCAGGAATAATGTACCCAATTAGTAAATTTGATCCTGTTTATCAGCCCACTGCCAACCTTCTTCCAGCCTCCTTGCCTGCTCTCCCCATCGGAATGTGGAAGGAAGGCAGACTGCCTGTGACAATCTGTCTCAACTGTGGTGGAGAACATGGGCTTTGGAGGCAGATTGTCCTGGGCTCAAATCCCAGCTCTGTCACTCTCCGTGACTTTTTACAAGTTCACCTCTTTGGATCCAAGTTTTCTTATCTGTTAAATGGGAGACAGAAATAGAACCACAGTGACCCAGTGATTCAGTGGTGGGGAGCAGGGATTTATTTGTATATTATGGTAATTATTTTTCGTTTTGAAGGCAATAATACAAGCTAATAAAACAATTTCTTAAAGAGAAGAAAAAACTGTTACCCCATTACCATATTATAGGTGTTTTCATATAAGTAAATTCCCACGTCATCTTTGTCCATAGGTAGACACATTCTATGTAGGTAGGATGCATCAAGTTTATATAATGCTATTATTACTTTTCTCTCTAATTTTCCAATGACTTGTTATGCTTATTAGATGTTCCATACTTTAATTATGCCAAACTCTATCCTTGGCAATGATGTTGCTGCTGCTGCTTTTATTTTTGTTTTGCTGGCATAAATGGTGCTGTAGTAAACACATTTGTGTGACGATAATACCGTTGTTTTGAATTATTCCTCAGCTTAAAGATCTGCATGTGATATTAAGTGTCAAGAGATATTTAGGCTTACATACCAAGAAGTGTTTTTTGAACAGTATTAAGGCTGGATCTAGCCTTAGTATAGGCTTGTCTCATTCAAACTGTAAGAAGATCTTCCTTCCTTGATGTTAGCTTCATAGGTACCCTCACTGCCGCCTCCTGCCCCTACCCCGCAACCCCTGACCGCCTTCTGGCCTTGACTATCCTTGTGAATTAGAAACTAGAAATTTCTATTTCACAAAGTTCTTAGAGGGAGAATCTCGGCTTTGCCACCATTAAATACTGGTATTTACCTCATTTCTGGCCTTGTAATGGTGCCTCTCTGTTAGACCCTCAAACCCAGGGGGCTGTTGGTAGGTGGCTGCAGGATTCAATGGGCATCACCTGAAAAGTAGGAGCCGAGTTGTCATCTGTGTTCTGAGCAGAAAGATCTTGAGAGATGGAGGCTGCTTTTATTCCTGCAACATGTTACTTTTTTTCTTTTTCTCTTCTCTTTTTTTGCCAGGAAGCTAAAAAGAAGTATGACAAAGAGACAGAGAAGTATTGTGGCATCTTAGAAAAACACTTGAATTTGTCTTCCAAAAAGAAAGAATCTCAGCTTCAGGAGGTAAGAGACTTTATTAGTATTCTGAATAAAGTGTTCAACTTGTACATGGTGCTTTGCATATGTGCTGGTTGCTCTTTGCTAGAAAATCTTAGGGTTAGAAGGGACCTGGGAAGTCAGGAACTTGCTCCTGATCTCTCATCCAATGCCTGATGCCTGGACTGCCTTTGTGTCCTCCAGCTTTCTAGCCTGTCAAGGTGGAACACACTGCTGGCCAAGATGACCACCTCCTTGTTGGGCTGCCCTGATTGCTAGATCTCTTCATTTCAAACTGATGCATCTTTTCCTGTTTCTCTCATTCTTGGCCTGAATTCTGCACTCTGTTACTTTACCTTTTGACTTCCTGCCTTTTATCAGTGATTTGAAATGTTAGCATCTCAAACGTTTTGATTATCCTTCCTTAATACTATTTTTTTCATTGTTTCAACCAGCACTTGACATTAGTCTTCTTTCTTTTTTTTCTTTTAAAGTAGTGCTTTCTTTTCCTGTGTATGTTTTGTGCTTTGGTAATGTTGTTTCAAGAAAATACATTTCTTAAACTTGCTCTTGGTTTTTCTGGGTGTGCACGGTATCTTTTAAAAAGTAGTTCACTTGGAAAGAAAAATGATGGAGCCATGGCAGCCATGGAGCTGTGACTATTTTTATTTAGTTCATGAAGACTGGCATGTTAAGGGAGTTTATGCTTCTTGGAGACAGGGGAGTTTCCTCGTGGAACCCCAGATTTGGCTTTAAAAATGTCATCTCATTTAACTGAACAATTTGCTTGACCTCTCTCATGATACTTTTGCGAAAAGAGGCTACCATGGCTTCCAGGTTGGCTCTTGTTCTTAAATTTTAATTCTTTTTGAGCAGATACCATGCTTCCGTTAGGTGAAAGTTCACATGAGGACAGCGGAGTCAGAGGTTGAAAGGCTGAAGTAAGACATGGTAGAGTTCAGTCCCCTCCCAATCACAATTGGTTACACATCTTGGGATAGGAATGTGGTGTTCTCAGAACTCTTTGCTTTGAAATGAGTATTTAATCCAGCTCTTAGAGTAGTGATGAGGACCATTACTCAACATCAATGACAACTGTCGCAACAAGTGTTTATAATGGGCTTTGCAGATCAGTTCTTGACCAGCCAGCAGACAGCATTGAGTATTTGATGTGTGCTTTACAAAGTACAAAATGCTAATCTATCCTCGAAAATCTTGTGCCTGAGTAGGGAAAAAGAAGCTAAAGCAGAGGAAGTGTTTCTTGAAGGGGCATAGCTACTCAGGTAAATCTTGTCAAATGTGATTGAAAAACCTTAAAAACAAAACAAAACAAAAAAAGCTTATTTTCATGGAGTATAAAGACTATCCCAACTTGACAGGAGGATGTAGGCACGATCCCAAAGATGTGGATAGTCCATGATAAATATGGAATTCTATTTAGAATCTGTCCTAATACCCTCACTTTTTGGTTATTCTTCTGGCATCACTTGACATTTAGGATTTGGAAACTAATTTACGTTTAAAGAAAGCCTTTTTGGGTGTGCTTCCCAATGACCAGGTCAGTCCAGCTCTCCACATTCTAAGCAGTTATAAATTATGGATTAGATGACTATGCACCATTAGTACAGATACTCAAGAGTATTCAGGGTTGAGCAGGTGTGTGGTTTTTCTAGCACCTGCTGAATCTGGGAGGCCCACAGCACAGTTACCAGTAGGCACAGCGTTCCCTAGAACAAAGCTGCTTCTTCACCAGATCCATTCTCCCCATGGCCAGTTAGTGCAGACTTGGTCTTGAATGAGTCCAGCATTTTCTTATAGGGCCCTGAATGCCCTCTGAGTTACCACAGTATAGGGACCAGAACACTGGGCTGGCAAAGAGGATACCCGGCTTCAAAACCTGTTCTGCCATGTATTTACCCTGTGACCTGGGGCAAATTACTTCAACTCTGTAAGCTTTATTTCCTTTATTTGTTATATACTCATGAAATACCTGTCCTGCTTACGTTATGAATGAGAAGACAAATATATATAGCCTCTGCTCAAGTATAAAGTATTTTATATTTAATGTAAAATGTGTAAATATACATATGATTGGCCTATTCTGTTCCATTTTCTGTTCCTAAATTGTATGCCACTATTCCTGACTCTGCCAGTTCTGTATTTCAGTGGATGTTTTCCATTATGTTCTTTTATTACAATCCTTTATGTTCTTGCCTTTGACCTAGTCATACCTTCTAAGTACTTTGAGTGTAAGGATTGGGTTGCAGATCTTGCAGGTTCTGGTCTGTTCTCAGGCATTGCTTTTTAGTTGTACCTGAACTAAATTAAACTTTATAAAAATCTAACTCAAAAACAGTAAAAATGATTACCACTGCCACTAACCACATCAATAACAACAATAATACAGGGAAACATTTGTTGAGTGCATATTTATGGCCCAGGTATGGTGTTAAGCATTTTACGTGGAATCTTCTGTAATCCTCACCCTAAGAGGTGGTTATTGCTCTGTTTTACATCTGAGGAAACTGAGGCTCAGATATGAAAAATAGCTTGGTGGTAGCAAGTCAACCCCAGAACCTGGCTGTGCAGCCCTTTCCCTTCACCCAGTTTGCTTTCTATGTCTCTGTCGGGGGAGGGATGTTGAGGCTTTCTTGTCTGCTGACCATCGTTATTTAGTGCCAGTGTCATGACATAGAATTGGAGATAGGGAAGGACCTTAGTGATCGACTTTTTTTTTTTTTTTTGCTTTTGAGACAGAGTCTAGCTTTGTCACCTATGCTGGAGTGCAATGGCACTATCTCAGCTCACTGCAACCTCCGCTTCCTGGGTTCAAGTGATTCTCCTGCCTCAGCCTCCCAAGCCGCTGGGACTATAGGTACCCATCGCCACGCCTGGCTAATTTTTGTATTTTTAGTAGAGATGGGGTTTCACCATATTGGCCAGGCTGGTCTCAACTCCTGACCTTGTGATCTGCCCACCTTGGCCTCCTAAAGTTCTAGGATTACAGGCGTGAGCCACCGCATCCAGCCATTTCAACTTTCTTGAATTACATTTGAAGGAACTGAGTTTCTTGCAGAGATCAGGTGTTTTGCTGAAGGTGTTCATATATGTAGTGATCATTTTCTTCATATTTATTAAAAATTCATCTTTTATGAATATTATTGAACAGCTGGTACACCTTTGATGAAACCTTCCACTTTGATGGCCAGAATCATTCCCTGATTGCAGAGTTATGCACCGGATGCTTTTAAATTCCAGCCCATCCCTAGATCCCTGGAAGTAGAAACTATAGGGCAGTGATGTGGAATGACACTGCCATCTAGTGGATAATTTTTAAAAATGTGTAGTTTTGAATGGTAAAAAAAGCTTGCTTCAAAAACAGTAGTCATTCATTCAACAAATACTCATTGGACGCTTCCGCAAAAGTTTGTCAAGGCACTGGGTGTTTTGTAGAATGTGAAATGAAGGATCTTCCTTCATGGAAATTACAATTTAGGAGGAAGTGTCTTTTCCAAGAAGCACAGAATAGTTGATGGATTTATACAAGCTGGTAGATTTACAGCTTCTCAAGTGGCAGTCGGGGAAACTGTCTTGAGTGTTCTGCTGGGTGGGTTGGAATTCTGGCTTATAATTCTATTGCAGGAAGCCCAAAGATATGATGAATTCTGTGGTCCACACCAAACAGGGGCATTGGCAAGAGAAATACAACATTCCACTTGAGATTTATTCTTCCTTTTCATTTGGGAATTCATTAAGTTATGCATTCGTTATTAGTTCTGGGTCATTGCAGAGATGTGCATTTGGTGCTGAATGATGGCCACATGGAGATCAATTCATTCATTCTGCATGCATCTGTTGAACGTTTATTATGGGCCAGACACAATCGTGAGGACTGGCGGAGAAAATGAAAAAGATAGACAAGGTCTTTGTTCTCATGGACTTTATATTCTAGTAGGCAATACATAAGAAAAGAAAGGAATAGGCCAGGTGCAGTGGCTCATGCCTGTAATCCCAGCACTTTGGGACGCCGAGGCAGGCAGATCACTTGAGGTCAGGACTTCGAGACAAGCCAGGCTAACATGGCGAAACCCCGTCTCTACTAAAAATACAAAAAAATTAGCTGAATGTGGTGGCACATGCCTATAATCCTAGCTACTTGGGAGGCTGAGGCAGGAGAATCACTTGAATCTAGGAGGCGGAGTTTGCAGTGAACCGACATCGTGCCACTCCACTCCAGCCTGGGCAACAGAGCGAGACTCCATCTCAAAAAAAAAAAAAAAAAAAAAAGAGAAAGGAATAGATAAGAGTTTAAATTGGGAGATGAGACAGAGATTTCCTGGTAACCTATTTAAAATAATGTAGTCAATGAAAGCTTCTCCTAAAGTGGTAACGTTTAAACTGAGCCCAGAAGTAATGAGCTAATGAGAAGCCAGGACAGTCTTCACATTGTGAGTGCGTTGTAAAATCACAATTATTGCGTCATGAAATAGAGTAGGCTAAAATAGAATAAAAAATATGAAAGTGCATTGCACTTAACAATTATAAATGTGTATTTATTGAGTCATAATATAAAAAGTATTTCTTACTGTATGTTGAAATTAAAATGTATATTTATCTAGAAGAAGAGGTTGTCAGGGAGAAGGAGCACCAGTTACAAAGGTTGTGGGAAAGAAAGGATTTGGAGCATTAGAGGACAGGAAGGACACCAGAGTGGCTGGAGCTTGGTGACAGTGGGTTAGGATGGGAGGAGGTGAGGCTGGAGGGTTGGGCAGATTATACAGGGTCTTGCAGACTACAGTGGAGGTCCTGGGAAGCCCTCTAAGGGGCTATGAGACCATCTGATTTAGATTTTAAGGTAGATATTCTGGTTCCTGGGTGCAGAGTAGATTGGGACAGAGGGAGAGGATGAAGACAGAGATACCAGTTAGGAGAGAAGTGTAGTAGCCCAGAGATGATGTGGCTGGTTTAGGGTAGAGCAGGAAGTGAAGCCCTGTGCTCTGAAGTGCCTGGGGACAGTAACCACCAAC